AGATTCTATTTGTATACGTCTATTGGTATATTTCTGTATAATGCGCCGCCGCCACAGATGCATTTATGCTAATCAATAAATAGAGGTCTGACTTCATAGACCAGTCGTTGAACCAAGTTTAGACTTTATTTAATCTTTTAGATTTCATATATAATTTCCACGAGTTGCATCTGGTCAGGATTAGTTATTTAGTCATGGTCCATCATGTAGAAGTAGAGGTAAGTTAAAAACATGACACTAACTTCTAATGTTTGATCTAAAAGCCCTCAATTGTCGTCGATTTCGAGATGGTGGTTTCAGGTGGAGTGCGCTGATGATCGCCGTTATTTTTATGCTAATTTTTTTCTAGTTCCGTTGCCTTAATAGTTTCCGTTCACTCCCTTATATCTTTTAAACAGTTTTAGTGCTATTTTTGACGGGTTTTCTTACATTCTATAGAACGAGTCGTCAACGTCTGAGGTTAATTGGGAGATTGTCGGTGACGATCTACTGCTGCCCATCTCAGATGCGGTACGTAAACAAACATCTGGTGTTTAATCTCGAACACTTTCATTTTTTCTCTATTGAATACTGACTTCAGTCTATTCCCTCATCTGTCACATCGTATTATTGTTTCTTGGAGGTTGGGTGGGGGTTCCTTAAAATGAAGACAATTTTGGGTTATAATACCATATCAGATTACTTACTGTAAATTATATAAAATGTGATGTCACGTCAGTACACACGGTTCTTCCGAAGACCCCCCTTGTAAATTACCTTTAACGCTACCCGTGACCCCATCATCATTCATATTTTCCGAAGTTTCAGCCCTGCTCTGAATAAACTGTCAAAGACGGATAGTATATTCTTCTTAACTCTGAATGGTGTCTATTTTTTCATCAGGAAACAATTAAAACCCAGTAGTTACCGCTTTTTAAAACATCTAATTGTTATGGGTGTCGACTTTCGATGGTTATGAGATGAACTTTACAGCCTCCCCCATTTGAGACCAACACTGACGAAGTTATACTTCTTAGAAAGAGGGCGGGTTGATAGGTTTCGAATCTCCACCATGAGCGACGAGAACCAATATCTGCCATTGCATCGCCCCTATCTGCGCTGGCGCTTAGAACAGCTCAAAAACCGTTCAGTATTTGTCCAAGCTACGGTTTTGGCGGTCGATTGTTGTATATGTGGAATCCGGGCAGAAGCCGAAGCTTTCAACAACCTTTGATTAAGAACAAACCTCCATGTAAAGTACACAAGCTTAATCTTGAAGTAGACGTGCTGGAACCCCTGTAACAATCTTGAAAAGGTATCCTCAGTACTCCAGGGAAACAACCCAGGTGATTTAAGCACGTTGGTGTTGTTGGCCACCGCTTGAGTCCATAAATTGGACGCCACCGTCTCATTGGAGAAGATGAAGGTAGTATTACTTGAAAACCGGATTTTATATGGTTCTCCATTAAATGATGACTTGATCTGGTTGGCGAGCGTGGAAATCTCCAAATCTCTGTCCATGTCGATCGTTGTGGACCCTTCCACCAATGCC